TCTCTTCTTTTGCTTGAGCAAGTTTTTCTAGCGAGAAAGAAGAAAAAACCAAGACTTAAAAACCACAGTATTTTACTGCCTTTTGTCTTTAAATAACAAACGTGATTACTTACCTTCACATCCATGACAACACTATAACTGCATCCGTAAAACAGGGCCAATTTTTTTTGGTAATTGCTCTCATGTAGTGAGGTTTTTGAACACTTTTTGTGTGCAATGTGACAGACTTGTATTTTAATTTAACGTGATTTATAGAACATGTGCTTCAGAGTTTTCATTGTCCTGAGAATTTTTAACCAGACGGACGGAGCACAAGTACACAGCGAGCGCGCTCACAGCTTTTCACTGCCACACACCTCCTTGGGAACACTAGAATTCCGGTGTTTGCCAGCGCGTCGGGTCCTGCCCCGGCTGACAGGGACACCTGTGCTGACTGCATCTGCCTGTCCCCGGCGTGAGGAGCTGAATGTATTTTCAGTGTCATTACCACTGTATTTGAGGTGAATTAAAAGGAAATAAGCCCCAAAAGCTGAAGGGTAGAGGTATCTTGTTTTTATTGAGCTCAGTTCTTACAGAGGAGATTGAAGGCTCGCTTGTGGAAGTTGCACAGAAGGGACAGGTATTGCAGGCAAGAAAAGCTTAAGAAATGCAGCGAGTCAGAGCGGCCCCCCGTGGGTGCAGATCACAAAGAGGTCATGTCATTGAGAGCATGGTCCAGCTCCTCGCTGATCGCTTTGTACTTCAGCTTCTGCGCGTACAGCTCGTCTGTCGGTCACGAGGGCAGAAGGCACGTTTCAGCAAGAAATGCAGAAAAACAGTCCAGAGGGAGAGGCACACAGTAGAGACACGAAGACAGTCAGAAGGCAGCGGCCAAAGCAGTTGAGGAAAACAAAAGAAGAGAGGAGATGCGTAACTGAGTATCGGTATGAAAGCAAAAGATCCACACAGCTGCCAGGTCAGAACCTTCACCTATGTCTCCTTTTTTTTTAATCTCTCAAAATTATTTTTCAGTAATCAGATTAAGTAGAGTTGTGATCTTGTTATTAACAGAAAGAGCCCTCGCGTCCATGTATCTGTGAGTTGGCCAAAATCAGGTTATCGTTACCGACATTTTGAAAGAGAACCTCTTTCAGGAAAACTTCCTCCGGCCAGGAGATAGCCCGCGGGACAGACATGTCCATCGCGCCCATCTACCAGTATGCCTCACAAGTACTTCTGTCCTTTCCCAATAAAATCCAATACCCACTCCTAGAATTTTGTTTTCTGATTTTAAATTGAACACTTTTAAATGAAACTTGAGTAATTTCATACCTTCCAGGTCATCAATAGACTTTTCCAGTTTGGCAACTGTTCTCTCCGCAAATTCAGCACGAGTTTCAGCCTAAAAAAAATTAAATAGAGTAATTGGATGCTGTTAAAAAATGATGCCAAAATACAGCGTGGGGATGGACAAACTTACTTCTTTAAGCTTGTCAGAGAGAATCTTGATTTCTTCTTCGTATTTATCTTCTTTTTCCGAGTACTGTGAAAACAATAAACACTCTTTAAGGGATGTTGTAACAACAATAATAAATGTTTATGAAACCGCAACCTGTTTATAACCACTTTTCCTTTTACAACAGCTGCAAACACCCTTTCCATACTTCTCTTCAAGACATTTCGGACTGGTTCATAAACCATCATTTTAGGACTGGGGATGTCCAAGTTCCTTCATGTGTCACCTTACACCTCAACGGGCTTACTTTCTCGTGCAGCACAGAAATAGCTGAATGTGCAAGAGAACAGGAAGCCTTCCATACCAATTTAGACTAGCCAGAAACAACTGTTTAATGAAATCAAGAGTTTTAACAATTTTCATTACTGAGGGCAAAAACCACGAGAGCAAGCTCAGAAAATCAAGAGCAGTCAGCAGCATACTGGTGTGGGAAACGGAGATTTAGGTCCTGGTTTGATAATTGTCAGATTACCGACTTGGGTTTGGGCAGAACTGGTTCAGCATTATCAACAGTCTCTGTTAAAACAGGCAGTCAGCCAAACCCTTTCACTTTCTTTGTATTTCTGTATTATTTCTATGGATTTTAACTACAAGTTTTGACTTCGCACCTATCCTTTAGTTTACGGAAAGAACCAACCTTTTCTGATTGAGCTTCCAAAGACTTCAGGTTGTTAGTGACATTCTTTAGTTCCTCTTCAAGGTCACTACATTTACTATAGGGGGGAAAAAAAAGTATATATTACTACTGTCCCTGTTATGACTTAATTTAATTTTCAAGAGGGATGAAATAATGATTAAGTCTGAAAGGCGAAAATTGGGTATATAGGGTAGAAAAAAGCTTTTCTACATATACTACATGCCTGCCTACCAGTAGATTTTTCTAATGAAATACAGCTTTGAGCTTTACTGTACTCTAAACTGCTTCTGTGTAGCTGAAGTTACTCACACTTCAGACACCTCTGCACGCTCTTCAGCTCTTTCCAGTTCACCCTCCAAAATCACCAGTTTACGGGCAACCTGTAAAGAGAAAATAGCTGTATCAAGCTAATCTGTAATTTCTTACACGTTTCTCTCAAGCACTACGCTCGTGCTTTCCTTCTGAATGATGGAATTAGGTTAAAACATACATGCACAGATGTCACAGACTTTTTCCCCAAATAAATTCGATTTTGCAGTGTTCTTAGCATTCAGTAAGGTGCTGCTGAAGTCACTATTAAAATTACTCCTTTTTGGGAACATTCCAATGTCAGACCATCACACAGTGAAGAGCGTACAAAGAATGACTAGACTGAAGAGTAACAAAGTTATTCACAGTTCTCCCGTATGTTTAATCATTTCCTTATCCCTTTTACCTCTTCATATTTGCGGTCAGCTTCTTCAGCAATGTGCTTAGCCTCCTTCAGTTGCATTTCCTGAATTTCCATTTTCTCTTCATCTTTCATTGCTCTGTTCTCAATCACCTTCATTCCTCTGCAGAAGTCAAAGCAAGTGTGTTTAATGTAGAAGCATTTTAGCACTTTTATCTCAAAGGTCCTAAAGTGGAATTCAGTATTTGTAACCAAAAAGTGGCCCATTATGACCATACTGTCATGTTCTTCAAGGCTAACAGAATTACTCATTCAAGCTTATAAAAAAGTTGAGTCTCTGACCTGCAATTCACATTAGCACATGCAGATACTAAATTATACAGGAATATTTTATTCATATCTATTCAATTTTTTACAAAAAAAGAAAGAAAAAAAAGAGGAAACATACCTCTCACTCTCATCCGCTGCTTTCTCAGCCTCCTCCAGTTTCTGCAAGGCTGTGGCCAGCCGCTCCTGGGCACGATCCAACTCCTCTTCCACGAGCTGGATACGTCTGTTCAGAGCTGCCACCTCACCTTCAGCCTGTATGAAATACAACCACCCCAAACTGAGGTTACGTACGAGCCACTTGCTGGCTGACAAATGTTCTCAACTAATCAGTTTTCCTTAAAACTGCAAAGGCTTCTCCTTGGTATATGCAGGGAAGCTCGAGGAACCTTTCTGTCTCTGCTTTTTGTTTGTTTCAACTATGGCATCTCAGGAATTTCAAGGTATGGAGTATGTGCTTCTCCTTTCTTTTTTAATGGTACTTATCATTCCTGCCATACAAAAAAGGATTAGACACTGATTGCCAACTATTTTCAGATCACTTCGGATCCACCCATAGGATTCAAAAGTTAAAACTCGAACTTTTTCCATAATGGCTTGTTCCAAAAACCTCACAGTTGATTTTTATGTTCTTGGTTTCATCACAGATTGCAGCAATATCCTGTCTAGCACACTGCTGAAGTTAAAGCCACCTCATTATCCGTTATGGGCTCCTTTGCCTGAAAATGCTATATAATCTTTACGCGGTCAGCTGGGCAGATACAGTTGGCCTCAGCATGGGAGAGTCAGTCGTCTTTGTAACATAAATAGGGCAAAATTAGGTATGTTCTTAAAATAAGTTTCCTTTTCCATTGCTTCCTGTGGTACTTAAGGAACTAGGCAGAAAGCATTTCTTAATAATATTTGTTTATATATTATAGATTAAACTGCACAGTAATTGGAAACACTATTAACGTTTAAAAAACAGACTAGGTAACAAATGGAGAGGTTGGGAGAAATGCAATCAGACAATAAGAACAAATCGGTGTCCGTACATACATTGTGTTTATTAACATATGGCTCCTTTAATTGCTTGTTATTTGAAGGAAAATAAACCCCTACTTTAGTAACTGGCAGGTTTGCGCACTTAATTGTCTCCAAATCTGAGCATGATTGCTATGTATAAGATTAGCTTTTTTTTTTTAAAAAAAAACACTTTTTATGGGCGATAGATCCTGGAAGGGCAGTTGTTTTATGCTTTGTGTTAAACACTTTGAAAAAATACTTGTTTTGCTGCAGCTTCTCAAATTTGGTTACTGACCGCTCCTCCTAAGCTGGAGGAAGTGGTTTCCATTCATAGCTGTACCATCTTGGAAAGGATTTCAGTGACTGATCCAAATGGAAGCTGACCCAGGATTCCTCTAGTCATAAATTACCCAGCATTTAATTTGTTTTCTACCCACTGCTGTGTGTTTAACTTTCTCGATTTACACACAATGCATCGATCATGTAGAAAACTGGCATCTGTTACGTGGCAGTCTGCAACGCCTTCCACTAGACGGGACACTTTTAAAGTCAAATTTTAATGAAGCAAGATTCCAAAGCTATGGAGACGGGGCCACTGGGAAGCTGGAGTTAAGTCTGGCTCCACCTCTCCCAGAAGCAGCCCGCAGTCCTTATACGGTAAAACTAACTCGCTGACATGTGATAAAATAGCAGGAAGATGCCGGGAAAGCTGATCACACACAAATCTAAGTGAAACCAGCTGTCCAGCCCCGGGAGAGCCGCACGCTAGTGGAGAGTTCTCATTTCTCTGTGAAAACCAGGAGGGAAAGTTATTTTCCAGCAGTTCGGACATTTCCCAGCTGTACTGGAGCCAGTGGTGCGGCGCCGAGAGGCGGGAACTCCCGCTCGTTGTCATGCAGCGCTTTTTCCTAATTAAACAGCCATTTCCTACTAAACTCTCAACCGCTTCCCGATGCCGATCGGTGCTCGCAACGCCTTTTCCGAAGGGAACGGCCCCAAAGCGCGATAAGCAGCGGGCGCCGG